TGTCCGGGACACCGGCAAGGCCACTGGCAACAGCTCCACAAAGAGCTCCGGGTCTGGGAAACCTCATTCCCCCCGGGTGGATATGGGGTGGCCGTGGTTGTTTGGGGGGGGGAGTTGGAGCTGGGAATTGCCCCTTTGCAGCATTCCTGGGAGTAGCCAGGCAAAACTCCCGTGACCAACAGTTTTTTGTTCCCAAACTGGATAAAAACCTCCCTTAACCCCAGTCCTGCACTCAGAGGTGAAACCCCTAAATGAAATCTCTCAGGTAAGGAAGAGCTTCCCCACCTCCTCACCGGGGCAACGAGGGGGATTTTGGGGTAGTTCAACCTCCACCTGAGCCCCTTCGGGGCAGTGTTTGATAAGGAACCACTCCCATGGCTGCTGGGATCCAGGAGCAGGGCCCTGGGATGCCAGAGCCCCCGGGAGAGCTGCACTGGGGACCAGGAACCAGCTTTACCTTCAGATCCGTGTTGAGAATCCAGATGAAGGTGCAGACCCTGGGGTTGCTGGGACACTTGAGGACGATGAATCCTCCGGGTCCATTCTCACCCCTGTGGAGCAGAGCCAAGAGGATCAGCCAGAGCCAGGGCTGGCTGGAATCCTGCACTGCTCTGGGATGCTCCGTGCGGATCCCTCCCGGCAGCCAGGGCCGGGGCCCGGCGGGGCAGGAGCAGATGTGGAGAGCCCAGGAAGGTGTTCCTTGGCTCCAGGTGCACGAGCCAGCACGGCAGGGCAGGCTTCCCACAGGTGCCTTGGCAGCGGTGGTGCCAGAGCAGCAGCTCTGCCTCTGGACTGTGCCAGCTCTTCCCCACGGGAAGGTTTCCCAGCCAGGCACAACCAAGAGGTCCCAGGGAAGCCCTGTGTGCTCAGGACAGGCTCAGGACAAGGATCCTGTCACTCCAGCCCCCAGATCCTTGCTGGCACCATCTGATCCATCCCCGAGACGGGAGCTGTGCACACACACACAGCCCAGACACAGGTTTCCCTTCCCTCCCCAGAACACACTGTTTTTGCTGGGTATATTTGTTGAAGGATTTTTCCAGGCCTCGAAGTCCCCTGCTCTTAAATGGAGTGAGGCAGCTCTGAGATAAAATGGCAATTACTTTAACCAGATTATTGGGAAAAACGACGTGGGAGCACGGCAGCACAGCTGGGCCCCGGCAGGAACAAGGAGTCCTTGTCTGCTGAGCCCGACCCTGCCAGGACCCAGCACCAGCCTGGCCCTTCTGAACGGGAGAGGCCAAAGCCCTGCTGAGATTTTGGGAGCTGCTCCATCCTTCTTTCACCCACGGGACCTTCTCTCCATGACTTAAACTCGGTTTACGAGGAGCACAAGGCATGTGAGAGGCTGGGAGTACATCCAGGTGCTTACTGCCCCTCCGAAATTCCTGCTGCACAAACAGGATGCGGACTGGGACGGGGCTGGTGCTGCTGCTGGTTGGGCACCTCCACTCCCCTGAGCTGGGAAACGCCCCAGCAACACTGACAGCACAGAGAGTTTCTTGAACAAAGGGAGACGAGCAAGGGAAGCGAGGTTGGGCTCCACAAATAGCTCGGCTTCCTGCAAGCCCTGCCAGGAAAGGCAGCAGGGTTTGCAGCTAAGTGGCTCTTTGCCCTAAAGCTTCGTTTGAAGTGAGTGATCCCAGCTGAGAAAAAGAGCCCCTGGCTCTTACCTGACGTACTTGGAGAGAGGAGGCTTCAGGCTGTGCGTGGTCGATATCCCTGAGGAAACGTACCTGTCCCTTCTCCTCTCGATCCGACGCACGTTCACGAAATCCCTGAGCAAAGAAAGGGCACTGCCTGCTCAGCACACACACATGGCATGTGGAGGGAACAGATCCCGCTCCCCTGACTGCTGGGAAAGGCTGTGGCAGGGCTGTGTCAACACAGGGACAAAGCACAGCCAGCACTGATATGTGGGAGCCCGACCGAGCGGCCGCCTGAGGTTTGGAGCTCTGAGAATCCTGCCAGGAATGTCTGGAGGAAAATTTCAGGGGCTGCTCGCCCTTGGGAGGGTCACACAGCAGTGACACCGGAGCTCCCAGCCAGCCCAGAGCATTCCCAGTGCCCTCAGAGGGCTCTCCCTGTGGTTTGGGGGGTGTTTTTGGGGCTCAGCATGAACAGAGTGGGATGAACTGACCTTGGGGAAACCACCCCTCCGGCAGCTCCGGCCGCCACGTCGTACGAGACAATCGTGTTGTCCTCGATCCGCTGCAAGATCTGGGGAGGGGATAAATAAAAACAAGAGAGATTCGTGCAGGCTGTGCCTCCAAGTGCCAAGAGCTGGGGGATACAGACCCTCCCCCAAACCAGCACTGGGATCAGAGCACCCACAGGGTCTCCGGCAGCGGAGGGGGGCGAGTTCGCTGCTGGTGTGTGACGGGTTTGCCTCCCGAGTGTTTTGGGGGGCACAGGTGTCATCTCCAGCTCCCCAGCACAACGCCCAGACGCTCCAGCGAGCACAGGCAGGCTCAGCTCAGCCTTGGCCCCTCTCCCTGCCCACCTCACGGGCTCTTGGCCGGGCTCAGGCAGCGGCTGCCGCGCGGCGCTGGGATGAGCGGCGGAGATTTAATGCCTCAGCGACTGGGACCCAGCTCGGCTCCAGCACGGCCTGGGCACTGCCAGCAGCCTGTGCTGGGCTGGGAAGCTCCAGCTCTCCGCTCCAAGGAGCTCCTGTGATTAAGCCATCTTTGTCCAGCACGCTCACCTGGCACGCTGCCACCGTTCTGTTCCACAGGATCATCTTCTCCGGCTGGAGAATCACCTCCTGGTAAACCAGCTCGGGAGAGCACTGCAGGAAAGCCTGAGGACACAGGCAGAGCAGTCAGCCAGGCCCTCTGCTCCCCTTGGGGAAGATTATTTTTAAGGAACACAGGGCAGGACACAAAGGACAAGGGGGATCATACTGGAGAGCGGCCTGGCATGCATGCAGCCAAAGCCACGGGTGTCACCCCTGTCCCAGTGCTCCCAGGGCACTGGGGGGCACAAACCCACAGGGTTTGGGAGCACTGAGCTCTGTGCTGGTGTGAGGGCAAGGGTCTGTCTGTTTGCCTCCTCTCCCACCCCAATTCCCAGCAGCTCCCCGTGCACCATTGCTTCGGGAAGCCGCATTTTAGACTCTCCAAGCCATTCCAAGCTCCACCACGCCCACCATCTATTTTCCCCCCACGCACATCCCCACGGGACCGGGGATCTTTGGAGGCAAACGGTTAATGCAGTAAAAGTGGGACCATCCAGCTTTTCCTGGTGAACACACACAAGAGCTGCTCCACTGGCAGCTCCTGCCAGCGAGGCAACATATGCACTGGAACAAAGAGAAGCCACGGCAGCGCCGCCGCTTCATTAGAGCGTGGTTCCCAGCCAAGGCTCTCCAGCTTGGGAGAGGGCACGGAGCAAGGCACTTCCGAGCAGCTCTTCCCGGTGCCAGGCAGCAGCAGACGCCTGCTCAGCCCTGGTCTTGCTGGCAATTAGTTCCAATTAGCCTCCTTGGTCAGATTAGCCCGAGATGCTGGGGTTGGAAGCGAGTCTTGCAGTCACCTGCTCCCAGTTCTCCCAGCAGAGTCCGGGGTGTTTGCTGGGGAGTTTGTCTGCCGGCCAAGGGGTTTTCCTGGAGAGATTCCCCAGTGCAGTTCATCTGTCTCAAGCACAGGGAGCGTGTTCTGCAGCCCTGACCTGTCCTGAAAGCTGAGCTGTGGCCCTTTGCCTGTGCCAGACTGGCTGAGGAATCGATCCAGGGAGGTTCTTACCTTTAGAATAAAGGTCTTGCCGTGGAAAGGGATTTCAAAAGTGTAAACAACATCACCAAAGTCCTGTGCAAGAGATAAGAAAGTTGTATTTGTGTAAGCAAAAGGAATTGCTCCTATCTGGGGTGAAGCCAGGCAAAACCCTGAGGCTCCTGCCACCCTGAGGAACCCCCTTCTCCCCTCCAATGTCCCCCCGTCCCCCACAGCGGGCACAGAAACCGCCCCGAGCACGTTTCAGCTGGCCATGCCCAAATTTCCATCAACAAAACAACATCCAGAGAGGCAGCAGGGGTGAGACAGAAAAAGAATCCGCCCCGTGCCAGCCTGCAAACCCCACGTCAAGGTCAAACTCTCTTTGCAGCACCGGGGCAGGAGAGAGGGGTCGGTGCCAGCGCTGCCGGTGCCACCGATGCCAGAGCTGAGCCCCCCCCGAGGGGCTGGGCATGGGCACAGGAAAACCTTTCATCGTTAGCCCTGTGTTAAACTCTGATTAGTCTATTTAAATCCATCCCCCTTTGGAAAAAGAAAACAATCTGCCCAGCTAGTTTGGCATCAGACAAAGGATCACTTGACAGGGGAATTTGAAACACCAGATGAGACAGCACTTTGCAGGGCTCGCACCTCCCCAGTCGTGTTTCCACCTCGGGAAAAAAAAAAACCCTGGTTGGGTTTGGGGGGCAGAGACACCTCCTCTTTCTCCCCACCCTTCAGAGCTCTGGACACCCCAGGAAACTCTGGGGTGGGCAAAGACACATCCCAGATTTACACTCCAGGTCCCTCTGCTGGGGAAGGGGGGACACCAGTGGATTTGGGGGTGGGAAGAGCAGTTTGTACCCCACACTTCCTGCTGCCACGTGGGCCAAGACCCCAGTTTGGGTCCGCTCAGCAGGCTCCAAGGCACCTTTCCATGGAGTAAGAGCTGAGCTGGAGCCATGGGAGCAGCATTCCAGTGCTCACCCCAAAGGTGAGCCCTCCAACCCTGCCCACCCACCACCGGCCAGAGGGAGGAGGGCTGGGCTCCTGCTCCCGTCAAACTGCAAGGCAATTAAACGTCTAATTAAATAAGAGGAGATTTTGCATTTAACTGAACTGGAAGAGATTCCTAATTCAATCAGGTAATTGTAACGCTTGTTAATTTTTCATGGCGCAAGGAGGCTTCCAAAGCCTCGTTTGTCCCGGTTTTTGCTAAGCCATCCGTGCCCTCTGCCAGCTCTGGGAGGGGGGGGACACCACACCACACTTGCATTGTTTTTCTCGAACTTCCAGTTCTCCTCCTGGGCGAGGATTTGGTCCACGACCTCCATGGCCTCCTTGCCTTGCCGGACATACTCCTTTTCCTGGGAAAGCAGGGAGGGTTTCATTAGCTGGGCGTGCAGGAGGCCTGAGGGGGGTGTGTAAGGCTGCTCCCCCCCCCTTCCCCGACTCTCCAGGCTGGCACAGGGAAAAGGGGATCAGAAATCTCTTAATTTGGGTCACAGAGGCCTCATTTTGGAGCTCCAAGTCACGCTCCCCGCCCTGGCTCGGATCCACACACCAGCTGCGGCTCCTGCCTCAGCGTGAGGGCTTCCAGCAGGCAAAGGGCTCTGGGATGTGCAGCTTCCTTCCTGGAGCAGCCACAGCGGGGACTGAACGGCAGCAGGACCATTGGAAAAGGCCACAAAGCCCGTGCCCAGCCAGGTTTTGGGGAGGTGAAGGGCCACCCCGCAAGTCATGGGGACAGGGAGGTGATGCCCGTGCTGGAATGCGACCAAAAAAGCAGGGATGGAAGGAGGACAGGCAGGAGCAGAGCCAGGACACATCCCTGTGGGACGCTGCAGGGAAGAAGACACAGCCCTGGGGGAGTGGGGTGAAGCTGGGGGGCTCAGGGGACCCTTCCTGTGGTGGCCACGAGGGGCTCAGCCACACATCCCCGGAGCAGAGGGTGTGGAATGGGGGACAGCAGGACAGGGGAGATTCCCACAGCCCCACATCAGCCTGGAGAGGGACAGGGACAGTCCCAGCCTCGGGCTGTGCTGCCTCAGTTTACCTGAGCTGTCAAGGGCTTCCTCCCTGTGCCTTCCTCATCCGACTCATTGTCTGACCCTGCGGGGAAACACCCAATTAATTCACAGTTAACGAAAGTCCCACTGGTACAACCCTCTGACCTTCTCCTGGGGGCAGTGTCTGATCCCTGTCCCATATCCAACGGGAAGGGCTGTCAGTGAGGATGACTCCAGCCCTGTGTCCCTGAACACCTGCTCAGCTCTGGAAGGCTGGGCTCATCCTGGGTGTCACCTACACTGGGATAACAGCTCTGGAAGGCTGAGCACATCCTGGGTGTCAGACACACCAGGATAACAGCTCTGGAAGGCTGGGCTCATCCCGAGTGTCACCTACACTGGGACAACTGCTCTGGAGAGCTGAGCTCATCCTGGGTGTCACCTACACTGGGATAACAGCTCTGGAAGGCTGGGCTCATCCTGGGTGTCAGATACACCAGGATAACAGCTCTGGAAGGTTGAGCTCATCCTGAGTGTCACCTACACTGGAATAACAGCTCCAGGTGACATCTCCCTGCTCCAGTGCCAGCACAGCTGGTGTCCCAGGGTAGTTTCCCAGGGCAGGGATGTGCTGCCAGCCCTGTTCCTCCCCTGCCTGTGCCCACCCACCCCCGTGCCCTCATCCCCAGGCAGCCTTTTCCAAGCACACAGCTCAGAGGATTTAATCCCAAGCCCACACAAGGCTCTGGTTTCCCAGGGAGCTGCATCCTGGCACGTGGGGCCCAGGGTGGCTCCAACAAAAAGGTGGCACAGGGACAGTGTGGAGGGTGAGGAGAGGGGTCCCTGTTTGGCAGTGTCAGTTCTTGGAGGCTCAGGGAAGGGATGTGGAGGTGAGGAATGTCGTGAGGATGAGCTGGGAAGGGAGGGAAGGGCTCAGGGGAGGAGAACAGCACTTCTTACCTGCAAAGGACTCAGGGGGGGAGTAGAACTGCCCCTCAGAGAGGGCCCGGGGGTAGAGCAGGGGCCGTGAGGCCGCAGCCTGGGCTGCCAGGTACCCTGGGAACAGGAGCACAGGGATTACACACTGGTATCCCCACCCAGGGGTCCCAGCCCTGCCCAAACACCCTCCCAGCCACTCGTTTCCCACATTTTCCCCTGAGTTTTCCCACTGACACCAGCCAGGCCATGAGCTTTGCAGCTCCTGTTGCCTCATCTTTTGTCTGAGACGTTTTATCTGCCCGGAGATCAATGGGCTCTTCTGCCTGTCAAATAATCCAAAGGCGATTAAGCATCTAATTAAATAAGAGCTTCCCCTGGAAGCAATTTGGAACCTGAGCCTAATCCAATAGAGGCATTAAACACTTGATCATTTTTCATCTTAAAGCCTCCTTGCAAGACCCAAACATCCTCTGGTGCTTTCCAGTCAGTCCCAGCATTTCTGATCCAGCCCTGCCTGACAAATGCCCCCTCGTTCAGTGCCACTTCCCAGCCAGTGAGGCCTGGAAGAGGGACAAATCCTTGTGCTGCTGCAGGAATGGGCAGCTATTCCAGTCCAGGATGAGCACCCGCTTCCTGGAAGGACCCTGGGGGTTACAGGGTGACGTGGAAAGCATTAGGTCAGGCTCAGTTTGTGCTCAGGGTGACCTCAGAGACCACAGGCTGTGGAATGTCACACCCCATAACTCACACCGTGCCCCATAACTGCAGCAATCCCCCTGGAAAGGTCTCCAGACAGATCCAAGCACAGGGATCAGGGACATGGAGTCCAACACTCCGCCTGGCATTTGCCTCACTGCTTCCAAACACTTTCTCCCATGCAGAGGATCCAGACACTGGGGAATCTGGCACATTTTTCTCCCCTCAATTAAAAGATGCTTTTTATAATCTGGTATTTTCTTCCCCTGAAGGGACTCGTACACCATTAGCAGAACTGAGTCAGGCACTTCCCATCCCAGCCAGCCTGGAGATGCCTTCTCCAGAAATGTCAGATAAAAGGTGCTGTCAAAGCAGCAGCAACCCCAGGCCTGGTGCTTTCATCCAACCCCTACCAGGGAGGAGCGAGGTACTCACATCGCTCCTCTTCTGCTTCCTGAGTGAGGACTTTAAAATCCAGGAACCAGGTCTCCAGCCAGGCAATGACAAACGAGACGATGGGAAGCAAGTAGCCAAAAGCCCCTTTGGTCAGAAGCTGTGTGGAGGAAAACACAGGGAATTACCCAAATGGGATTAAAAAAAAACAACAAACCAACAAGCATCAAGGAAGCACGAAGGGAGGGCAGGGAAACCAACCTCGGAGAGGATGACCTTCACAATCAGGAAGGCACTGGAGACCAGTGTGGTGACCTGGAAGGTGAATTGACGTGGCTCAGATAAATAAATAAGTGCCTCAGATCCCTGTGAAGCCCAGGGGGAGAGGGCAAACGAAACCAGGAGAGGCCAAAGTGGCTCTTACCGCGATGACCCACCAGTGGCGCAGGCGGATGACGGCGTAGCCCAGGAGCAGCACCACGAACCGAAACAGGGCCAGGAGCTGCACCAACACCCCCCCAGAGACACCAGTCACTGCCCCTGCCCCAGTGCCAGCTGCTGGGGGGGCAGGGACAGGCGCCAGCTCTCGAGGGACAGGCGGGGTCGAGGCTGTGACCGGCTGGGAATCAAGGTTTGGGTTGTGGGGACACCCCAGAGCCTCCCTGTCCCCCCCTCCCCGAGCCCTGCAGGAGGCTGAGATACTCACAAATATGTCAAAGAAAGAGCTCTTGAACTTGTAATCGATGATTTCATCCTTCAGGTTCTTCTGGATGCCATCCTTGGTCTGAGGGGAGAGAGGGAAGCAGGAAGCTGCTGAGTGCACTGATAAGGAACTCCCGGGAGAAGGAGCCCCGCCAAGCAGTGCCTGGGGTTATGGCCAGGGCAAGGAAGGCACCTGGAATACAAATGCTGCCCAGCACAGGAGCAGGGAGGATCCCACAGCACATTTCCCCCCGGGATTCACGCTGAGGAGCGTGGGCTGGGCAGGCAGGGACATTAAACACCTCCATGTGCTGCTTTCCAACACCCAAATCCGCTCCTCTGGCTCAGCACAGCCAGAGCCACCAGATCCTGAAGGCCCTGGGTGGGCACCTCCCACTGCTTCCAAGTGACAGACTTCAGAGGAACGGGGGGAGATGTGGAAAAAGTGGAAAACCACAGGGAAATGCTTCTGCAGCACCTTCAGTAACGCACTGAGCCATCAGAACATCCCCCTGCCAGGGCTCTCGGGGTCACCCAGGACATGGAGGGGGGTTTAAGGATCCTCCTCCTGCCAAGCACTGAGGGGTCCCCTCTCCTTCCTTCCCAGCCACAGCTTCCCACAGCTCACAGCAGCACTCCAGGAAACGTGGTGGAAGGAGGAAACCAGCAGGTTCAAATGTGCTGGCAAAGGGAAGGGGGAGGAGAGGAGGATGCCCAGCCAGGGGCACTGAGGGAACCTGGAAGAGGCAAAACCACTCCCCGGGATTCACGGAAAAGGCTCAGAGAGGAGCATTCCTGCCTCACCCCGAGATAATCCTGGGTCTGACAGCCCTGGCACCACAAATCCTGGGAGCTGGGATGGCTGCTTGTGAGGAGATGGGACAAGTGCTGCACCTTCAGGCTGTTGGTCCGAGCTGGGCCCAGCTGGCTGGGAGGGGCTGGATGTGAGGAGCTCTTGGATGGGCTGCGAGGAACGAGGTGGTGGATCTCCGGCCAGCCCTTGGCAGGAGGTGTCCTGGCACCCTCCAAGGTGAGGAGAGGAGCCATTGGGAAGGGATCCCTCTGGGCAAGGGCTGGGGCTTAAAATCCAGGGAGAGGGGGGCAAGGAGAGGGGGCAAAGCAGTGCTGGGCTGTTCCTCCAGCTGGTCTGTGGCCACGGGATTTGTGCCAGCTTTGCCACCAAGAGCCTCTTCCCACACCACGGGATGCTCCAGGAGGGATGAGACACAGGCAAAGCTCTGGGTGTTGGCTTTTGGGGGCTGCTTTCAGCTCAAACACAGGCTGTGGACAAGGCAGACAAACGACCCGAGGCATCTCTTTGTCTCTGCAGAATTACAGTTTGCTCTTAACGAGGGGCAATTTGCTCAGCTTATCTCTGAGCCGAGGAAACCGTTGGGATAACAAAAAGGGAAAAAAAAAAAGGCCCATTAGTCATGATACCAAATCGTTGCTCTTCATAACCAGGCAAATAAGCTGCTCTAATAGCTTTAAATATGCAGCATTTCGGCTCGGGGCCCAAATATCAGCAGTTAGTCACTCATTAATGGCTACCTGAACGACCCACGCTCGGCATCACCCTGGTGACCGAGCCAGGATTATCTCCCCGGGGCTGGAATTGCTGGTTTGGAGGCAGCACCTCCCCCTGGGAGAACTGGGACAGGAGCAGGAGGCCGGGGTCCAAACTGGGCGTGCTGGACACCACTGGCATCGCTGGAATGCTGGCTGGGAGGTGGTTTTTCCTAAGGGGATGAAGGGCAGGGGTCTCCTGGGGCTCCCAGGGCAGGGTGAGGAGCTGCTGCCAGGACAATCTGTTAAGTGCAGACACACAGTGATAAGAAGGGCAGAGATAAGGGCTGTAAAAGTGAGCAGGATCCAGTGCTGATAACCAAGGCCAGAGCCCGGGGTCTATCAGATCATCTCTTCCAGGGAAGGACATGGAGTGCCTGAAACCAGTCAGGACTGATCCAGGGAAAATAAAAACAAAACACAGCCCAGGGAGGGACCTGGGCCCGGTGGGACTGGGGTAAATAAACTGGATTTTCCTGGTGGTTGCAACACGGAGCAAAGGCAGCAGTTTGTGAGAGTCAGAGGGGACCAAGCCCCTCGTGTTACAGTCCCTTGGGAGGTGGAACAGCACCTCCAGCTTTCCAAAGCTGAGATTAGCAGCAGTATTTTGGGATCAAAGCCCCTCAAGGATCCTCCCCTCCTCTGAGAACACAACAGCAGTGAGCCCAGGGAGCAGCTTTGCTTAAGGCCAGGGGAGCAGCAGGGAAATTTGGCTCAACCTGGTGATTCCAGGAGCCCTGGATCTCGTTAGAACACAACACGGTGTTAACGACCCTGGACAGCCCCCACAGAGCCCGGGGCAGGAAACGAGCTGGACTTTAGTTTACACTCAGGAACAGCCAGCGCTGGGAAGAGCAAACAAAGATTGGTCCCAGGAGTGCTGGGACAGAGCAATCAACTGAGGGAGCCTAAACAGGGCAAAGATTCCCGGGTTTTGTTTCCTCCAACTCACATTGAGCTCGATGATCCAGAGCAGGGAGATGAAGAGCAGGTCGAAGGTGACGAAGAGGCAGAAGGTCCTCCTCACATCCGAGATGACCTTCCTCTTCTCCGGGGACAAGAAGTAGGGGGAGAAGCCCTGGCTCTGGGAGAGGGAGGAGCTGATGGAGGCGATGGCTGGCAGGCTGCGTTCCAGGTCGTGCTGCAGGTCCGTGGGCTTGTTCATCCTCCGGGATCGGCACCGGGAACGTCGGCCGCGGCAGCGTCACCTGCGGGGGGACAGGAGGGACACTCAGACACCCCTCCTGCCACCCCCCAGAGGCAAATAATCCCATGAGGATCAGATATTGGGAAGGAATTCCTCCCTGGGAGGGTGGGGAGGCCCTGGCCACCAGCGTTGCCCCAGGAGAAGCTGTGGCCTGCCCCATCCCCTGGAAGTGTCCAAGGCCAGGTTGGAGCAACCTAGGATAGTGGAAGGTGTCCCAGCCCATGGCAGGGGGTGGGACTGGATGGGCTTTAATGCTGTGACAGCAGAAAAAGGAGCCCCAAACCTCGCAGGGATGCCATGGCAGAAGGAAAAGGGGCCACAAACCCCATGGAGATGCCATGGAAGCAGAAAAAGGGGCTGCAAACCCCATGGAGTCGGTGTGACGGAAGGAAAAGGGACCCCAAACCTCATGGAGACACCGTGGGAGCAGGAAAAGGGGCTGCAAATCCCACGGAAAGGCCGTGACAGGAGGCAAAAGGGGCCCCAAACCCCACACAAAGATGTCATGGAAGCAGGGAAAGGGGCCTCAGGATGTTTCAGGAGCAGTCCCCAGGATCACCTCACGCTTCCCTGTGCAGGGAAGGCAAAGCCTCGGGAGCTGAGGGCACAGATCCCAACCTGCACAACCAGGACAGGACCCTGCTCCCCCCCAGGGGTGGGATGGTGGGTCTGGTGCCCAGCTGGGCCAGGCAGAGCAGCAGGGAGGCAGCAGGGAAGGGGCTGCTCCGTGTCCCAGCCCAGGGCTGGCGGTGCCGGGCACACGCGGTCCCGGCACGAGCGAGGTGCTGGAATTCTGAGCCTGTTTTCCTGCAGCTGTGCCAAGCATTGTGCTGAGATGTTTCCTCTCCGTCAGAGGAGCACAAGGAGGGCCCTGTGGAGCTGGAGCGTGACACGGGCACGGGAGACAAACACGGAACGAGGATGCCAGAACAGGTCGGACCAGGGATCTGTCAGTGCCACCTCCCAGTCACCCCCACAGCCTCCCTCCCTCCCAAACCCTCCTGCTCTGGGATGTTTTGCCTCCCAAAAGAACCCCCTCCCGTTCTGTTTGTGGTGTGAGCTCCGGGGCAGTTCCATGGATTCGTCCACCACAGACCCCAACTGCAACAACCAGGGAAAAACAACACAGGGCTGTGCCCAGGCCTTTGGGAAGGGGCAATCCATGGGGGCAGGCGAAGCTGCCAAGCCCCCTGGACACTGGAGCACCGAGCACGGCCTGATTTGGGGTGACCTGGGGCTCATCTGGATCCCTGAGCCAGCAGCCCCTGCCTCCCATCCCCAGGGAGCAGCAGGGCCGGGAAGGGAACAAAGCTGGACTCCTGTCAAATCCCTGCTAGTCCCTCTCTCGGAGGCACTTCCAAAGGAGCTGGAAGCCCTGTCACTTCGGATCAGCCGCTCCAGGCGCCGGGCCCGGCTCAAAGTGACAAAAGTTAAGGACATCTGCGGGGGATAAATAATAAATCACCTCACGCCGGGGCCGCCGCCGCCCCCTCCCCCCCTCCTACAGCACTTTGCACTTAGGCAGCCCCCTCCTCCCAACTTTCACAGCGCTTTAAAATCGCCCTGGGAGGCCCCAGGGACCCGATCCCGGGATGCCGAGGGGCCAGGGCGGGGTGTTGGGACACGGCAGGACATGGGGACACCAGGACATGACAGGACATAGGGATATGGGGACACAGCAGCCCTGGTGCAGCTCATCCATCATTAATCCCAGCCTTCCCAAGGAGGTTTAAGCTTGGTTTGGAACATATATCCCCCCCCCCACCGCCATCCCAAACCGTCCAGGCACCACGGATTCCCGAGGGAACACCCCGGCACCGTGGGGCAGGAATGCTGGAAGGCTGAGAGCAGGGCCTGGATGAGAGGGAGCGGAGCAAGGCGGCTGTTCCTGGGTGGCAGATGAATTATTGAGCTCCCTGGTGCTGTATTATGCATTCCAGCATCCTCCGCACCCCGCTCGCTCCCGCTGCCGGGAATGGGGGGGGGGGTCAGCCGAGGGTCGGGCTCTGCTCCCAGGGAATGAGGAGGACGGGACCAGAGGGAGGAATTCCTTCATGGAAAGGGTGGTCAGGCACTGGAAGGGGCTGCCCAGGGAATGGTGGAGTCCCCATCCCTGGAATGTTCACAAAAAAAAAAAGCTGTGGATGCGGCACTCGGGGATGTGGGTTAGTGGTGACAGTTGAGGGTTGGACTTGGTGGCCTTGGAGGGCTTTTCCAGCCTAAAATGACTCCATGATCCTGCTCCAGCAAGGGGCACACAGGGGGGGCACTGCAGGGACCCTCCAGAGCTTCTCTGCCTCAAAAAAAGGGGATTTTTGGACTCTGAGGGAGGATTTTTGCTGGTGAAACCTCCTGGTTCGGGGATCAGGAGGCGACAGGGGCTGCAGGGACCAGGGGTGATTCCATACGGGCAGGGAATCCCAGTGGGAAGTGAGCATGGAAGAGAGGTGGAGGGTTGGGATCCTGATC